GGTCCCTTTGTTTATTTAAAATAAATTTTATAATAACGATAGCGCCGCTCTAAACATGACGTGGGGTGCTTAGTAGCATTTTTTTAATTCAGCATGTCTAAAAAAATAACGTAAGCACCAATCCCCGCATGTCTTGGGGTGCTCACGGGTACATTTAATATGTAAGTTTAATATAAAATATTAACGCAAGCATAAATCCATGGAAAACTCGGGGCACTTAGTGGCCCTTAATTAATTTAAAATAAATGAAATAATAACGTAAGAACCAATCCCTGCGCTATAAGACTTGCTTACTAATCACTTTATTTGTTGAAAATTGTTGTAATATTGTGAGCGTCAATTCTTGCACAACCCAAGGCACTTACTGGTCCTATTATTTATTTAAAATAAATGAAATAAAATCGCAAGCCCCAATCCCTGCACCACCCAGTGACCTTTCTGATCTTTACTTTTGTTCAAAACGAGTATAATAACACAAGTGCTAACCACCACACATCTCAGGGTGCTAACTGGTCCTTTCACTTATTTAAAATAAATAAAATAATAACGTCAGCACCCATTCCCACAAAATTCAAAGTGCTTACTGGTCTCTTTATTGATTTAAAATAAATAAAATAATAATGTAAGGGACAATAACCACACAGCCTGGGGCGCTTACTAGTCGCTTTTTTTTATTTAAAACAAATGTAATAATAACGCAAGCACCGATCCGTGCACGACCCGGAGCACTTACNTTATTTTGAATAAATAAAATAATAACGCAAGTGCCAATTTTTACCCAACCAAAAGCACTAACTGGTCACTTTTTTTTCTTAAGATAAATAAAATAATAATGTAAGGGACAATAACCACACAGCCTGGGGCGCTTACTAGTCGCTTTTTTTTATTTAAAACAAATGTAATAATAACGCAAGCACCGATCCGTGCACGACCCGGAGCACTTACTGGTCACTTTACTATTTTGAAACAAATAAACTAATAACACAAGCATTAATTTCCGCACAATCTGGGGTGCTTTCTGGTCTTTTTATCTATTTAAAATAAATAAAATAACGTAAGCACCAATATCCGCACGATTTAAGGTACTTATTCTTACCTTTATTGATTTAAATGCACAATAAAATAATAATACAAGCTTTTATGTTCACACGATCTTGGGTACGTACTAGTTTTTTCATGTATTCAAAATAAATAAAATAGTAATGCAAAAGCCAATCCTTGCACAACTGACGACGCTTACGGCTCCTCTGATTAATTTGAAATAAATGACATAATACCGCAAGTGCTAATCCCGACATGACTTGGAGCGCTTACTAGTTTCTTTATTTATCAAAGATCAGTATAATAACGCAAGCACTAATCTGCGCACAAACTGAAGCGCTTGCTTGGCACTTGATTCTTTTCAAATAAATAAAATAATAACGCGAGCACTGATCCTCTCAAAACTATGAGCGCTTACTGATGCTTCTATTATTTAAAAATTTCTGTAATAACGCAAGTTCCTATTCCCTCACGACCTTGGGTGCTTCCTGGTCTCTGCAGTTATCAAATATAATAAAAATAACAGCCGAAGTGCCGATTTACAAGCAACCTGAGATGCTTACTAGTCCCTTATTTTTATATAAAATAAATGAAATAATTACGTACGCACAGATTCCACCACATCTCAGGGCTCTTACTGGTACCTTTATTAATTGAATGTAAGTAAAATTATAGCGCTAGTGTTAATCTCTGCACAATCCACGGCACTCACTGTTCCCTTTATTTATTTAAATTTAAAATACTAACGCAAGTACTCAACTCCAGACAACACAGAGTGCTTACTGGTCCGTTTAGTCATTAAAAATTAATGAAATAATAACGTTAGCACCAATTTCTGCACAACTCCGGTCATGTACTGGTCCTTTAATTTTCTTAAGATAAATAAAATAATAATGTAAGTGCCTATCCTCACCTAACCAAAAGCGCTCTCTGTTTCCTTAATTTATTGCAAAGTAGTAAAATAACACAAATGATAATCACCGCACAACCCATGGCACCTACTGGTTTCTTCCTTTATTTCGAAAAAAATTCATATCTCAAGCGATAATTTAAGAACATCGCAATACGCTTACTAGTTGCTTTGATTATTTAAAATACTTTAAAAAATGAGGTAAGCGCTAATCTTTGCACGACCTGCTGCACTTACTGGTTACTTTATTCATTCGGAATGAAAGAAATAATAATGCAATCGCTAATCCCTGCACAACTATGAGGGCTTATGGCTTCGTTTATTTATTTAAAACAAATAAGACACTAACGCAAGCGTAAATTTCCTTATGTCCAAGGGCATCTTTGTGTTGTTATATTTATTCAAAACAAATAAAGTAATAACGCAAGTTATAATTTCTGCACAAACTAATGCGCTTTCTGGTTGCTTCATTTATTAAAAACAAATAAACTAGTGACGCAAGCCCTAATTTTCACATGAGCACTTACTCGTCCCTTTATTAATTTTAAATCATTATCATAACGTAAGCGTCAATTTTTGCCCGACCTGGGGCGTTTTTTAATCCATTTATTTATAAAAAACCAATATAATAACACAAGTGCTAATCACCATACCACTCGGGGTGCTTACTATTCCCTTTACTTATTTAAAATTTATAGAATAATAACGTCAGTACCAATCATCGTACGATGAGGGGCGCTTGTTGGTACCTTTATTTATTCTTAATAAATAGAATAATAACGTAAGCATAAAACCTTGTAAAACCCAAGGCACTTAGTAAACCCTTTACTGATTGAAACTTATTCAAGTAACGCAAGCATAAAGCCCTGCACGACTTAAGGTGCTAATGGCTCCCTTGAATTGTTTAGAATAAATAAAAGAACAACGCAAGTGCCCATCCCCACATTACCCAGGGCACTTTGTGGTCCTTCTATTTATCAAAAACTAATAGAATAACACAAGCACCATTCCCTGCATGACTCAGGGTGCTTACTGGTACTATTATCGATTCAAAATAAATATAATAATAAACGCATGCACCAATCCCCGCATAACTCGGAGTGCTTACTAATCCATTCATTATTCATACATCTATTGAAAATTATTATTTTAACTCAAGTGCCTATTAACGCACAAGCTGATGCGCTTACTGGTCTTTTTATTTATTTGAAATGAATGAAATAATAACACAACTGTCAGTCCCTGCACAACCTGGAGTGCTTATGGATCCCTTTATTTATAAGAAATCAATATAATAACGCAAGCTCTAATCTCTGCACAACCCGTTGCGTTTATTAGGCCCTTAAGTTATTTGAAAAAAGCAAAATAATAACGTAATTATCAATCACCGTACAAGCCGGGGTGCTTACTGACCTTTTTATTGACTAAAAGTTATCACAATAACGCAAGCGTCAATTTCCGCTAGTCCCAGGGCGCTAATTGAAAATAAATAAATTAATAACGTCATCGCCTATCTCCACGTGACCAAGGCGCTTACTGGTTTTTTATTCCTAAAAATTAAATAAAATAATTACTCAAGCACTGATCCACTCACGAGCAAAGCACTTACTCGTCACTTTATTTATTTAGAATAAATGAACTAATAACGCAAGCTCCAATCTTCACACGACCTGTTGCGCTTACTGGTTGCTTTATTTATTTAAAATGAATACGATAATACCGCAAGCGCTTATCTGCACACATCTCAAGGCGCTTACTGGTCCCTTCATTTGATAAAAATAAAAAAAAAACAATAACGCAAGTATCAATCCCCGCACAACCTGGAGTGCTCACGGCTCCTTCTAATAATTTAAAATAATTAAAATAATAACGCGAGTTCCGATCCCAACATGACCCAGTGTGCTCACTGGTCCAAATATATTATAAAAATAAATGTGAAAAATTAAGCGCTAATGTTCTTACAATCCGAGGCGATTACTGGTTTCTTTACTCATTTTAAACAAATGAAATAATAACGCAGGCCTGAATTCCTGCATGAACTAGGGTGCTTACTAAACTCTTTATCGATTAAAACTTATTCAAGTAACGTAAGCGCTCCATCTCGCATGATTCAGGGCCCTTACTGGTCCCTTCATTTTCTAAAGATAAATGAAATAACAACACACGTGCCTGTCTACACCTGATTAAAAGCACAATCTGGTCCCTTTATTTATTGAAAACTAATTAAAACACCCAAGTGCTAATCACACATCCCACATCACAATGGCGCTTAATGATTTCTTCCTTTATTTTGAAAAAATGAAAATATATAATAAGCGATAATTCCAGCACATACTGATACGCTTACAGGTTGCTTTGATTATTTTAAATAAATAATCAAATAACGTGAGCACTAATCTTTGAATAACTTAGTGCACTTACTGGTCCCTTTATCTATTTAGAATAAATAAAATAACAATGCAATCGCCAATCCCTGTACAGCAAAGGGTGCTTAAGGCTCCTTTTATTTATTTAAAATGAATAAAATAGTAACGCAAGCGCTAATCCCCGCACGACCTAGGGCGCTTTTTAATCCCTTTATTCATAAGAAACAAATATAATAACACAAGTGCCAATCACCACACCACTCGAGGTGCTTACTGGACCCTTTACTTATTTAAAATTGATAGAATAAAAACGTCAGCACCAATTTCCGCACGATTAGGGGCGCTTACTAGTAGAGGAGACTGGGGCGGGATGGGTTCTGAGGTCAAATGAGTTTTTGCTGTATCTCACCATCTGGTCAGCTAATTATTGTAGAGAAATTACTTATTGCTCGCTACAAGCCAATGAAGTTATTGTTAAAAAGTTATTTTGAATGTATTGAACAGGAAGAAAGAAAAAAATTTGCTTCATTTTATGCTGTCAGGAGATCGACTGCAGCACTTCTTCAACGTGTAAATAAACGTATTAGAATAATATAGATAGCAATATTATGGGCACCAGATAAAACTTTAAAGATTTTTCTACAATTTGGTTACCTATTTTTTTATCATCAGTGCACTTAAGCATGACCTACACGCTTTTAGAAAAACAAAATCTTTTGGGCAGTATGAAGAAATCGAACGGAGCGGTATGAATTTATGATCTTTGTCTTGAGTATAGGTATACTTATACGTGAACTCACCTAACCTCGAGGTAAACAAACAAACCAAAGGCGTGCTATATGTAGGTAGCTTAACTCAAATTAGTTGATAAGATTAGTAAATAAGTGTTTGACAAAATAAAAAAATGGTGAGGAATGATAAAAAAAATCCGAGCGTCAAAGCTGGTCTGAGTATACTGTCAAAGAGGCAATGGAAGCTATAATGAACGGACAGTTAATGAATAAATGTGCAAGAAAGTTTTTTATACCTAGAGTGACTCTGCGCCAGAAATGTGTAGAATACAAAAAAATGTGTGTGGATCGATTGTAATTAAAAAACGTAGAAAGGATAAATATTTCGTTATAGTGTGCTAACCTAAAAAATTATTTGCTTCAAGAATAGAAAAAAAATTCTGAAAATAGCACCATAGACCTTCCTTTTTAATTTTAGATCTAGGATTTAGCACGGTTTTCACCCAGGACCAAGAAAAAGTGATAAGTAATATTATTTTGAGTCCAAGTGATAGATTCTATGATTATACATCTAAAGAAGTGAGGAGACTAGCATTTTAAATGGCAGAAATCTCAACGTCAAAAATAAATTTGACAAAGATTTGCGTATGGCTGGGAAAGATTGGTTTTCTAGTTTCATGAAGAGAAATGCTGAGTTATCTCTTCGCAAACCGGAACCTACATCTGCTGCAAGAGTTAACGCTTTCAACAGAAGTACGTTTCAGAGCTTGTTTGATCTTTTAGATTATCTGTATAAAAAGTATGAATTTAGTGCCACAGAGATATTTAATGTTTATGAAACTGGAGTTTCCTGCAATCCCAAGTCGTACTCTAGAGTTGTTGCTCGTTATGGGCAGAAGCAAGTAGAAACGAAAGTGTCTGCTAAACGAGGAACGACTGTAACGGCATGCCTCCGTTTGTCAGCTTCTGGAGCATACATGCCTCCTCTTTTAATTTTTCCAAAGAAAAAAAGAAATGACGCATATTTGGAAGGAGTGCCCCTGGAGGTCGAGCAGAGTTCAATGGTATAGGTTGGATGGATGAGGTAGTTTTTTGCAAATGGATGGAGAAATTTATTGGATTTTCTTATGCATCCAAGGATGAACCTGTGCTACTGATAGTTGATGGACACGCTTCACATGTAAAGAACCTCAAAGCAATAAAGCTTGCTCAAGATAATATAGTCATAATGGTTTGCCTTCCACCACACTGCACTCATCGAATGCAGTCATTGGACGTTGCTTACATAAAACCATTGAGAACTGCCTACGAATCAGCAGTGCTTGTTTGGATGAAAAATCATCCTTACAGTACCATATGTCTAAAAGACATTTATAAAATATTTAGTTCTGCTTTCAGAACAGCTTCAACCATGGAAAAGTTGTCAAAAGCTTTGAGGCAACTGAAGTTTTTCCATTCAAACCAGCAGAATTTTTAGATAAAAATTTTCCAGCACAAGAGTTGGAGAATTCCCTACCTCTTAGTAAGGATTTACCGGAAGATTTGGCTTTAAAAGATTTTAAGGATGAAATGATGAAAAATTTTGAAAAATGTTTGGACCAGTTTGTAAAGAAAAAAAGGAATAAAACTCTGATAACTAATTCTTTTAACTCAAATATACAGGTACAGTAGTTTCACGTATGTAAAATGTTTATTTATTTAATATGGTAGAAAGCTGCTTTTTTTTAGCCTGCAAAAAAAAGACGCACATGGAAAGCAGCTATCGTTACTCATAAAAAGTACACGGCTGCGTTAGAGACTGCAAAAAATAAAAATAAAAAACCAGTTACAAAACCGCAAAAAAATATGAAAAAAGCCCTTAAGTAATCGTACCAATACAATGAATAATTCATCAGCTGCATGAGAGGTCAATAATGAGATTATTATGATTAATGCTCCGCAAGACATAAATCTGCCTTCAAGTCTACTATTAATGCCCGAGCTTATTTACAATGACTTTCAAAACCTTCAGTATTTTTTCTTGTCATAGATGTAATAATTGTATACCTCAGTTTTATGAAAATTCATATCAACAATAATTTGTATTAGAACTTGATTTGTGATATTAGCATATTTTAAAAAGTGATATATAATATTAAAGGAATTATTCAGCTGTTAACACATTAAAAAAAACTTGGAAAGTTGTTTTGTAAATTTGTTTGCACCAGTCCACTTTATTCTATAAATTATCGATACCCATAGCACCTTGGTGTTAAATCCATACAGCCCCAGCATTAGAGTGGTAAGAGTTTTTTTAGGTGTCAAATTTTGTGTTTATAAGATCACTTGGGACTGATTTTTCATTATTTCCATTTATGAATTATGATGGCAAAGCTTTCTGCTTTACGTTAATGTCTTTGAAGTGCTAACATAATACATTATTTCACTCTAATGCTCATTTTCCTTTTTTTGCCCCATCCAGCCACAGTATCCATTAACTTTACTCATTTAAGATAAATGGAATAATAACGAAAGCACTAAACTTCGCACACCCTGGGGCGCTTACCAAACTCTTTATTAATTAAAACCTATTTAAGTAATGCAAGTGCCAAGCCCCGCATGACACAGGGCGCTTACGGCTCCCTTGAATTGTTGAAAATAAAAAATTTAAAAAACCAATAACCCAATGTGCATACTAGTCTTTTTGTTAATTTGAAATCAATGAAATAATAACGCAACTGCCAGTCCCTGCACAAGTCAGGGTGCTCATGGCTCCCGTGATTTATGAGGAATTATTATAATAACGCAATCACTAATCTCTGCACCACCCGGGGCGCTTACTAGGCCCTTGATTTATTTAAAATAAGTGTAATGATAACGTAATTATCAATCACCGCACAACCTGGGGCGCTTACTGACCTTTTTAATGACCAAAAGTTATTACAACAACTTAAGCGCCAGTTCCCGCACAAGTTTTAACTGGTCCCTTAATTTATTTAAAATAAATTTATTTATAACGTCAGCGCCAATTTCCACCTTATCCAGGGTCCTTATTGGTCCCTTTATTTATTTTGAATAAATAAAATAATAACGCAAGTGCCAATTTTTACCCAACCAAAAGCACTAACTGGTCACTTTTTTTTCTTAAGATAAATAAAATAATAACGCAAGTTCCTATCTCTAGCTGACTGAGGGTGCTCTCTGATCTCTTTATTTTGTGAAAACTAAGAAAAAAACATAAGTGCTAATCACCACACAACCCATGGCGCTCACTGGTTTCTTTCTTTATTTAAGAAACATAAAATTATGTCTCAAGCGATAATTCCAGCACAACCTGATACGTTTAGTGGTCGCTTTGATTATTTAAAATGAATAAACAAATAACGTCATCGCTAATTCTTGCACAACTCGGTGCTCTTACTAGTCTTTTTATTTATTTAAAATGAATGAAATACTAACACAATCACCAATCCCTGCACAACTAAGGGTAGTTACAGCTCCTTTTGTTTATTAAAAATAAATGAAACAATAACGCAAGCGTAAATCCCCACGTGTCCTGGGATGACTACGTGCCGCTATATAATGCGCTTACTGCTTCCATTCGTTATTTAAAATAAATGAAATAATAATGCAGGCCCTAATCCCGGCATGATCCAGGGCACGTACTGGTTGATTTTTTTGTTCAAAATGAATAATCTAATAACGCAAGCACTAGTCTCTGCCTGACCTGTGGCACTTGCACTCTATTTATTTAAAACAAATTAAAAAATATCGCAAGCGCCAATTCCCGGACAAGTCGGGGCGCTTACTGATCCATTTATTTATTCAAACTTATTATATTGATTCAAGCGCCAATTCATACAGAACACCATGCCCTTACTAGTTCCTTTCTTTATGTAAAATTAATATAATAATGCAAGCACCAATCCCCACACAATCCTGGGCCCTTACTGTCCCTTTGATTTATAAAAAATTGATATAATTGTTACAACGCTTACTTGTCTTTTTATTTATTTGAAATCAATAATAAATAACGCGAGTGCCGATCTGTGCTTAATTAGGCTAACTGGTCCCTTAATAACCTAAAATAAATTAATTAATCCGGAAGTGCCAATCCTCACATGACCCGTGGTGTTACTCCTTTATTTATTACAAATTAATATATTAACGCAAACGCTAATCTCCTGAAAGCTCAATGCGCTCACTGGTCTCTTTACTTATTTCAAATAAATAAAGTAGTAATGCAAGTGCCAAACTCCACACAAACCGGACTGCTAACTGGCCCTTTTATTTACTAAAAATTAATTTAATTGCACAATTGCTAATCCATACACGATCCAGGCCGCTGACTGGTCCCTTTAATTGATAAAAACTAATATATTAAAGCAAGCTCCGATCCTCTTACAACCCGATATGCTTACTGGTCTCTTTACTTATTTACCATGAATAAAATAATAATGCAAGGGCTAATCCACGCATGATCCGGGGTACTTACTGGCCATTTTATTTGTTTTACATACATAAACTAATAATGCAAGCCCTTGTCCCCACATGGTCTGGGGTGTTTACTAGTCTCTCTATTTATTTAAATTCAATTAAAACGCTAGCACCAATCTTCACATGACCTGGGGTGCTTACTGGTTCCTTCAACTATTTAAAACGAATGAAATAATAATGCAAGCACTAATCCCTGCATAACCCGGGATGTTTTTTTCTCCCTTTGTATATTTGAAACAAGCGGAATAATAACGCAAAAGCTAATCACCACACTACTTGGGGTGCTTACTGGTCCCTTCATTGCGCCAATCTTTACACAACCTGATGCTTTTACTTATCCCTTTATTAACATAAAATAGATGAAAAAACAATGTAAACACCATTTCCGGCACAACCCGAGGCACTCACTGGTCCCTTTACTTATTTGAAATAAACTAAATAATAACGCAAGTGCTAATTCCTGCACGACCCAGGGCACTTACTTGTCTCTTTATTTACTTAAAATAAATAAAATAATAACGCTAGCACCAGTTCCCACATATCCCGGAACACTAACTGTTTTCTTCAATTATTCAAAATAGTTAAAATAGTAACATAATCGCCAATCCCCGCACGAACGGGAGGACTTACTGGCTGCTTAATTTATTTATAATAAATGAACTAATAACGCAAGTGCTAGTCTTCCCACGATCTCAGGTACTTACTAGTCTCTCTATTCATTCAAAATAAATAAAATATAAACGCACACGCCAATCTCCACACAACGCAGGGCGCTTATGGCTCCTTTTATTTATTCAAAATAAATAAAATAATAATGCTAGCACTGATTCCCACACGACCTGGGGCGCTAACTGGTTTCTCTTATTATTTAAAATAAATAGAATAATAACGCGATCCCCAATCTCCACACGACCGAGGGTGCTTTCGTCTCCCTTTGTTTATTTAAAATAAATGTCATAATAATGCAAGTGCTAATACCCACATTACCAGGGGAGGTTTCTGGTCCCTTTATTTATTGAAAAGTCAAATAATAACACAAGTGCTAATTACCACACAACTCGGGGTGCTCACTGGTTCCTTTATTTATTCAAAAGTAATATAATAACGCAATTACCTTTATTTGCACAACTTAGGGTGCTTACTGGTTCCTTTATTTATCAACAATAAATGAAATAATAATGCAAGCGTCAACCCCGACATGATTCTGGGCACTTACTTGCTTCTTTATTTATTAAAAAATAATGTAATAACGCAAGCACCGATCTCTGCACAATTTTTGTCGCTCACTAGTATTTTTATTTATCGATAATTTATATAAAACATAAGAGCCATTTGTCTCATGACCCAGGGAGCTTACTGGTCTCTTTATTTATTAAAAATTAAAATATCAACGCATGCACCAACTTTTGCACAATCTGAGGCGCTTACTGGTTGTTTCAATTATTTGTAGTAATACAAATAACGTAAGCAATAATCACCACACAACCCGGGGCGCTTACTAGTCGCTGTGTGTATTATTATAGCATTTTATTATAATACAAGTGCTTATCAAAAGGCAACTAAAGGCACTTACTGGTTGCTTGTGTAATTAGTTTATTACCAGAACGTGCCTTGGGTCGTGCGGAAATTAGCACTTGCTTTATTAGTTTATTTATTTTAAGTAAATAAAGTGTAACGTCCACGCAACGTATTATTCGAGTCTAAGCTTTCGCTTGACAACTCGGGACTCGCACTGGTCACGTAGGTGGAACGCAGGGCCAAAAGGTAGTTATATTTTTTGTCTGAGTATTCAAAAGGGGGTGAGGTGAGGGGGTGAGGACGGATGTTTTCATTAAATTGACGCGTTTGTCGTGCAATAGTGCGATGCACTCGTTCGCAGCGCGCCTCGGATTTATCGAGAATACCCGGTGCGATGTGTCGAATAGTATCCCGTTCGCAATCTAGAGGTTACCAATACCGTAACAAGCAAAGGTATTTACACTCTAGAGGTGACGCAAGGGGGTAAAATGATTTAAGTTCGCGACCGGTCTAGGAGCCACCAGTACC